TGGTGACGGTGATTCATATAATAAATAAAGTACTGCATAAAACGAAACTCGTGCAGGTCATTTATTGTAATAAAAATAAAAATGTTACGTAAATGAAGACAATAACCATATTCCACACGCACGCTTCTTGATTTCGATCAGAAACGTATGTAGTGTCAAAATAAAAGTGAAACAGTTAGTAATATGATATGTACGTGGAAATATCAATTACGATCACTTCGTATTCAATTTGGCGCTTAACCATTTATGATAGCGAATAAGATGGAAAAAAACCAGTTGCAGAATATGTTCAACATTAGATAAAAATTGTAAAGACCTGCATACGTTATGTGAACAATAAAAACGATGACAGCCAAACTGTTCAAATAGAGAAAGTATGTAAAATCGCAGTTGAATACGCTCTCTGTTTTACCATACATAGAGAAATTATAGATTTTATTGATCAAAAAATATATGCCATCAAGGATGGGTATCATTGGCAGAGAAGCGATGGCTATAAAGATGTTGGTATTTTTACTATAAAATACAATAAATACATAAATTAGGCAGACTGTTAAACATTTCATGAGGGTATTCAGGTTCCATTGAAAGTATTCATCGATATGAATGTAAAATCTCATAAAGAACGCGACCCAAATGAAACAAAATCCAATATAGGAAAATCGCATTACATTTTGCCTACAAATAGAACGAATCCGATAATACAAATAATCTTGCTTTTCTAGCCAATGATATAATGAGAAAGATTCCAACGGCTAAATAAAGATATTTATAGAATAATTAGATCATTTTTTCAATCAAAATTGACTCACTTGTTCGCTAATCCATGCATGAAGAATTGAATCTTTATATCCACAGGTATACGATGAGTTTGTTAATCGTCGTGCTCCATAAAGTGCCCACTCAGGCTTTACTTGCCAATACTTTTCATTTGTATTCGACAACGAATCAAAATAGAAGGATGCAATTGAGAGATGTGTAAATCCATCAATCATACGGATCATAGTTGCTTGATTTATGGATCTTATATGTAAACGTTCAACTCGTGGAAAAGTCGAACATAATTCTTCAATAGGATAATTGTCACCAAATTCAAAGTCACACTTTGTTTCAAGTGTTCTGATGTTTTCGAATTTCATTCCTCTGAATTGTTTAAGTAGTTGAAATGGATTACTCATTATCGATAATTTTTGAAGACAATCTGTGCTTAAAAGATGACATATATTTGGTGGTGATTGCATGATTGGAAAGTATATAATTAAATGCTCCACCCGATTTATATCAATAATAGATGAAAGAGTTTCAAGTTGAATATCATTATTGATTATCAATGTTCGGACATGAGGAAAATAATGTTCACTGTCCACTAATGGCCGTGATAATTCAAGTGTAGTTATATTGTCAAGAAACGTTTTATCATCAATAACTGTTGAATGCATAAATCGTTGAAAACTGGTCTTATAGTGTACATTAGTGAAATACGGTACTGAAAATAAACGCCCATACTCGTAGGCTACAAACCAACGTTTTTGAAGCCAAAACAAACTTCTAAAAGTATCGAGAGTTCTTTCGATTTCATTTAGCCTCATGTAAAAGTTGAAATTAAATGTGATGAGGGAACCAGGGACACTTTCCCATCGTTGTCCATCGGCTAAATTGATATCGCTGTTGATCAACTGAAGTTCAAGATGCTTGAGACGGAGAAGGTTCAACATGACATTTTCGATGTGATTCATAGACACCAAATATCCTAAGTAAACGAAATTGTCATACATGTACGTTTTTCTTCTTGAAGGACCGTTACATAAATGAATTATTTGAGATAATCATCACAGATTTACCCGTATCCACTCGAAGATAGACTGTAGGTCTACGCAATCAGAAATTTGTTGTTCATATAGAAAGACTAGCAGACTTATTGAACTAGGAAAGTTCCTGATGTCTCATGGGTATCGATATATATTCGTCGTCTAACTTTAATCAACACCGAATGTTTATTGTAGTATTTGCCTGAATCCTAACTGTATATTTGACGTTCAAAAGGCAGAAGCTTTAGTGTCTGAAGGCTCATTCATTCAAACTTATCTCTCAGAGTGCTATATATGACACATTTGACAGTTTTCCAGCGAAAACTGGGAATTTCTCGAATCTTGTTGGTATGTGACAACATAAAAATCTGCGTTATCCAACCTTGCAGGGATTAGAAACATTGAAAGTGAAGTAACATATCATCATAGGACTTTTTCTCAATATTGTCAAGAAAGTAAGTTAATTACTGCTACCCAGGTCAAGTTGGGGTCGTCGGATCTTGTCGGACGGGTTCAAAATCCGTTGATACCCGGTGATCGGATTCTGCCGGTTCCTTTCCGGCGTATTCCGATTATTTATGCAGTATCCTGTCGAAATCCGGTCAACGAATTCGCTGATTTCCGATCGGATTTACCATGCCGGAAACGATCGAATTCGGTTCATATGATTCGGTCGTTTATGATATGATACGTGACTATCCGTAATCAGGAAATCACCGGAATGTATCACTTAAAACTGGACTTGATTTCTGGAGAAAACTCCTTCAAAGACTGTCATCGGAACCTGTCGGATCATACCAGAAAAGAGCAGCCCCGATCATCGGATTTTGCAGTATTCGTGGACAAAGATCCCACCGGAATCAGTTCATTGCGATTATCGGATGCAAACGGAAAATCTCCTGACTGATTATGCCAATTACCAATTGATTAATTGGAGTAGTCATAGTCGAAAATTGAATGTTATGCACGTTAGAGAAGGCTTGCTCGATCGAAATGGACTTGAGTGGATAATATGGTATGCCGTGTAAAAGAATCAGGGGTAAAACTAGATTTAAATCGATACAAATAACACCTTTCAAACGGTTTTAATAAAGAACAATCAAAAATATCAAAATTTTATTAAGCATTTCAATTGATCACAATTTCTATTATAATCTATTACAAAGTAATGAAAAAGTTGGATTATGATGTGTACAATTCGATGAAAATCAGTTGA